TTCACAGTATATCAAGCTCAGAAGATGATTCAAGCGATGAGGAAGATTTCGAGTGTTCGAAAGTGTGTAAAATTGAAGTTCTCACGCCCTAGCCGATTAGTTTTTACTGGTAGTTTAGTTTAATTTAGTTTTAAATTATATCACACACAAAAAGATTTTTAGGTAATTACTGTTTAATGCTTCATAAAGTTTTACATAGTTGTATTTATTTAGTCCTTTTAATTTAATATTTGTCTCTATTATAATAAACTAATTATTATATAATTGATTATAATCATTTATAATCATCTATTAATTATTTTAAAGTATGTAAAAAATGTTATTTATGTACTACAAATACTTTAAGAAATTTTTAAACGCGTGAGGTGAGCTATCTACGGCATCGCCAGAGAAGGGTGATATTTTCGGAAGAACGGCGGGGAGAAAGAGCTGGCACTTTCGAGTACTGTTTACTCGTAACACTGCGCGAATTAAGTAAACGAAAACTGCTCATTTCCCTAACCGTCAGAGGGTTAAGGAAATTAAATAATAAATCATCTGCATAAATGAATGTATGTTTCTCGTATTGTGATAAAACAACGGTATCTAAAGCCATCGAAATTTGAATAACGTAATCATAGGGCTTGTGGAAGCCCTAATTTGAATTTGAAATTTGTTTTATTATCGATTTCAGATTTTGTAACACTTCAACGAAATTTTCATAAAAAAACTAAAATTTTCAAGCGAGCAATGGCAACATTTTTACCCCCCTCAAAAAAAAAAAAAAAAAAAATCTCCAGCGCGCGAGACTCTGTATCGGAAATTCTAAAGATATGCTCATTTTAAAATTAATTTGCGATATTGCTGTTGAACTGAATTTTATGGTTTGCGTACGTAGAACATGATATTTAATAAATAAATATAACACAGAAAACGTTACGAAAGCGCCCCTTTGAACGTAATTTAAAATCTGAAAGCTTTCAGATTGTTTGGGGAGGCATGTGCGCTATGAAATATTTAAAAAAGCCAGTGATTGTAGCAAGAAATATAAAATGAACCGCCACATCTCGACGAAACTAACCACCCTTTTCATAAATAATTTGGGGCCCACTAGCGGCTGAGCGGTAAAGTCGCTGAACACTGGTAGTTCGGTCCGAGGTTCGAATCCTGCTTTTCGTGTTTTCCTTTCTCCATGTGTACGTGTATGAGCCATTTTCCCTTAAAAGGTCCTCCACGAAGGCATTCCTTCCCTTAGGCAGATAGGCCTAGTGTGCTTTGCCATAATTAAATATACACCAACACCATAAATAAATTGAGTTTTTTCGCTTATGTGCCCAGCCATCCTGGGATCAGTTTATCATAGGCAGATAATATGCGTAGTAGTGTACAGAAATACGTACTCTGAATATCACTGAAAATACGAACAACTTCTAAACATGTTTTTAAAATCTCAGATTTAATAGTTTGTAACTTGCATTTAGTACTCTTCCTTGAAATTAAAATAACCTGCCAACAACGTAGATATACTTTGTTACTTTAGAATAGGCCCTCCAGTACCCATTTTCCCCTAAATCATGACTCATAATCTCCTCCGTGCAGTGACGACGACACACGTTACTATCGTAAATGAGAGGAGGGTCGCTACGACCTTGAAGTGCCTATTTCCAAAGTAACAGACTTTTAGTATGTGACCGTCTGATGATGATTCGGTATAATTCTCGCAAGCTGCTTAAAATACTTGTAAAATCAAGAGAATATTTAAATGTCTGTTTTAAAATCGTTTAAGGAACTAAATTTTTCGTATCTTATCATTCCTTACATATTATCTTATCATTCATATCATATCATTTTCCGCATATCTGATCATTCGTTTGCTTCTCAGTATCAATAATCATGGAATCAATAATGCTCCTTAAACATCCTCAACACCCATGTATGGAAAATAAACCTGTGTACAAGAGTATCTTATGTTAATTAAGCAGTTATTATGATTTTTGTCTTTGCTATAACTTCCGCATTCCTCACCAGGATGCAAATTCAGGTTTCAGTGTATTTAAGTTGATGGTTTTAAATCTTAACAGAGAAAGCTACTGGCAATCGCGTTTCGCGCTGTTAGTGTTCCTTTGCCAGTTCTGGTTAAACTTTAGCATTCTCGCTAGCCGATAAGTCCGTCTGTGCTAAAATACATCTTGAACCAACTTACTCTACTGAATGTATAGTCTCAGACTAGGTTATCAGTGTTTGAATTTAACCCTTTGCGCTCAAGGACCTTTTTCGCTAGGCTGAACCAACAACTCGAGGCGATTTTCCGCACATTTTCTGAATTTCTTAGAGCTAATAACTTTAAATGAATTCACATAAATCTAATGATTCTGTTTTGTCTGAAGATACCTGTGGTCCTGCAGCTCTTTAGCTTGCTATAAACGCCATTCTTTGTGGCATTTCGGATTCTGTGCACGTTATCCATTCTGAATTTTCTATCTTTTCAGCGAAAACACTGTCGCTTACACATTCACTATCTTATTATCCTGAATTTTCACCATCTTACACCTCTTTCTTCAACGCTAGTGCTGCCCAACCAGGACAACGGTTAACGAAAGTGACTGCTATACAGGTGACAGGTGACGGAGGACGGGGACGCCTGGCGTATAACATAGGTAAACAGGCATATGTCCCACGTCCTCCACTATCTCGAAGAAGCAAATCGCTGGAGCCCCGTAAGGCTGCACCGGGAGTTTACATGGCCATACAGGGGCTAGATGTCAAGCAGTTTTTACATAGGACGTTGTTAATAACACAAAGTAACTTAAAAAGAATATAAAGGATAGCATAAAACAGTAAAAGACTCCTAACGCTAAGGAAACACACAGATATACAAAATTAAAAGTAAAAGCATAAAAACACACTCGTAATTACGTAACATAAAGACATAAAAACACACACGAGAATGCATATCATGACACATAGAATACATATGGAAACACGTAGATGTATAGTGTCTTTGCGGCTAGGGCGCACTAAATATATGGCGAGCCGAAAGTCCTTTCGTGTGGCTTGGTGGTAGGGGAGAGGGGTGGGGAGACCCTCGGACCCCCCTCCCCGGAGTGCTGTCCCTCAAAATTGGGGTGGAAGTAGAAGTCCAACCTGCTTGAGGCTCTGGCAACTATTCTTCGATGAAATACATGCACAAGATATCAACAACAACATCACGAGTTTTTGATTTCTTACCCCTCTTAGTTCATCGCTGTCTGCAGTACTGTTTCCATCTCTCTGTCATCAAGTAGTCTTAGACGCAATTTCGTTCTTCATCAACGAAAAATCGAACTCAGCTTCACTTGAACTAATTTTTTAATCGTATTCTGTGCTTATTTGGCCCCATAACTTTGAAAATGGTATTCCTATTGCCACGACTGTGGTGTTCGAATTAACATCGAAGGCGTGCATATAACAGTAAATCTAAAAATGTATTTAAGATTAAAGACTAGCAGTTGTTTTATATACATATACTGTTGAAAACACTCACGAAGCGGTACTGCCCAAACGAAACCTAAATAAATATCGTTACCGCTCGAATTATCGCGTCAAACCTAGTGGTGACCGAGATCACCTCTCGAGTTACCGCATCAAATCAAATGCTGACCATCGAGTGCACTAGGTTAATTGCCTGTTATGGCTTCATCTAAACAGTCACAAGTGGTGGTTCCGTCTGTAGCGTAAATTGTGCCTTTAGGTTTAATTTAAGACAGAAATAAACAAGTTATTTTAAATAATCTTTTATATTCTATGAGTTGTTTAACGTACTAACTCGCTGTCTGGTAAGGCCTGCAGGACTTTAATTCTAGTTACAAACCAACGACAACAGACAATTAAATTAAAAGTCAAAACCTTCTTGAGAATGATTCAAAGACTATTTCAGAAAAAATATTTATCAAATGTTTAACCTTAAGAAGAGTGACGAAAAATCATGTTATGACCCCCGCTATCAAGCGATTAATTTATAAAATTACTTTTAAATGTGAAAAATCTGGGTATGAAATTATATTTATACAACTAATACAAACTGGTACTGTCATTAAGTATATATTTCATTCAGTTACCTTCAAACATGGAAATCTGAATATAAAACAAATACTTTAATATTTATATTTCGTTTGGAACGGAACATTCATCAAACATACCTGTGTGTGTCAGCTTCATTTTCCATCTGAAGAGCCACTTCTTGCCAAGCATTTTGGGTTGTCCTTCAATAAAAAACAATTGAACATCAACGTAAGTTCACAGATTAGTAAATTAGTCAGTTATCAACTGTCATAAAATCAGAAAAACTATGATTTCAAAAACTCACCCTAAGATGAGCTTAGTTGCTTTATTAATTTTTGTGGCTAACTTCGATAAGCTTCTCGCATAGCTCAATTCTAATTCGGATCTACAGATAAGAGAAAAAAAATGTTAGTTACTATCAAACAATGACAAAATTAAGCAGTTATATATTATCTTTATTTGATAAAGGATAATGATTATATGAAAAAGAAATAATAATTATATGGCAATTATGCAATTACTTCTTAGTCTTTCTTTCTTTCTTTCTTTCTTTCTTTTTTTTTTTTTTTGTTCAAAATCAGTTCTACACTTCTAGATGTGAAGGATTCCGAACAGATCGTTTATAATTAATTAATCAGATAATTTATAATGATTTTGATTATGATAGCGACCTTTCAAATGCTATGGTTCACTAGCAGAGTGATTAAAACTGTGCAACACACTATCTTTCACTCTCCGAATTGCTCCAATGGGGCTCATGTCCAGACATTCATGTCTGAAGCAAATGACATAGTACACAGATTAGAAATACGTCTCGTTAAAAAACTGCCTATACTTTTTAGATAATGTTGGATGGATGTAATGGAATAAGGAAAAAAATCATACTTGATGAACACTGTTACATCTAAACTCTGGACTATCAGCGCCGTTACATCTAAACTCTAGAATAATCAAAACAAAAACGAAAATAGAACTGTGATTTGCATTGAACTAGAACCAGAACAAGAAACTAACTAGAACCAGAACTAACTAGAACTAGAACCAGAACTAGAAAGATTGTATGAAGGAAAGCGCATAATGTTCATGAAAACGTAATCTAATAATTGTATATAAATGTACATAAATATAATCTGTTTATATTTCACAGAAGTGTTAGTATTTTGAACAATCTTTGATTTAGATATTTCAGTCATCAGAATGGATGTATCCTCGACGGATGATAGAAAAGGTAAGATAATTTTTCTTGCCTTTATAGAGAATTTAGAAATATTAATTTTGAGTGAGAATCTACAGACATAATGCGAGTATTTTGCCATTAATATTACAATTTACGCGTGAAATTTAATTCAGATTCCAATATTTTGTTAAAATAGAATAATTAACAATTGGGGGGGGGAAGAACCTGCCCCAAATGGCACTTTATTAATACAATTCAAAATATTCACATTTTTCACATACTTGAAACATTTTTATAATTAAAATTAGTTGAGTGCAACATTTTTTACCCACTCTTCTTATTTTTAATTTTCCACTGTAAGAGAATCTAGTGGCAGTCATAAACTCTTTACTGCAACTTTGTATCGAAGGAACCATGTTGGTGTATTTTTTTTCTCTTCTTTTTCGATAAAAAATAAACCATTTTTATTGCAGTCATAGGTGCTTCATCAAGGGTTACAATGTATTTCTATTTATATCCTGGAAAATAGTTTTCATACAGGATTCTACAAGTTATTCTGTGTTTAGCCACATGCCTCGGCAAAAGCTGGTGAACATTATGTTTTTTAGCTTTTAAAGTTATAAATCTTAGTTTGTTATTTTATTTATTGTTGCTACAGATGTATTTAAAGATTCTGCAATTCAGCGGATTATTTCCTTTTGGCAACGTTTTTAACTTTAAAAACATAAGAAACATTAGATACTTTTTTGGGTATTCGTTTGGAGTCTTCTTTCCATGTAGAAGTATTCCATGTGTAATGATTGACAGTTTTTCCCTTTCCGATAAATAATATTGCTTTTATTTAATATTGCTTATATAAATTTTAATAACATGCATTTCACAACGTTTTTGATTAGGGAGTAGGGATACTTCTCTTCCAAAAGCGCAAAAACGCATCCTGAAATTTACAACTTGTTCACATGGGCCATTTTGAAAAAAAGAATAAATTTTAAAGTAGCAGATGATATTTGTCATTTCAAATAATAAACTGTTGTCAGAAATTTTATTTCAAAACATTTGCTTTTTTTCATTCTTTATAGAGAAAAATCGTTCTAAATATGAGTAAACATTCTCTACTCCGCTAATTACTGGTGGCTAAAAAATAATCATTTACTTTAATTAAACAAAACAGAATATTTTATGAAATAATGAATTAAAGAAATAAACAGAAAATGATAATCAGAAAGGCCAAATCGAAGCTTTTAAACAGGGTTCGCAAAATAAATATTACAAGTATGTTTTGGGAGTGAAGTTGCAGAACTCGAGTAGGTGTCATTTTTTGAAATGAAAAGTGATATCGTTGTGAAAAGATTTGGTTATTGACATAATTTTATCAATGGTATGCCATCGGGTATATCCCACGGTTACAGAGAACTAGTTCGCCTCCACTGCTTTAGGAAAAAAGGGAATAGGGGAAGAGAGAGAAAGAGAGCGAATTTTTGCGGTCATTAACTTTAACGCAGTGACTCACTTTTCAGACGATTTTTATCGTAATTATAAACAATAAAACATTTTTTAAAAAAATGGGTCCATCGAAAGATTCTCAGAAAGCTTTAATTGCTGTGAATCAGTTTATCTCAAATGCTAAGATAGATCCCCCCAACCCAAATGACTAAATAAGTATATATAGAAAGCAGTGCTTTAATGAATTTTATACTTTAAGAGAAACATAGCAAAATTCTTTATACATACTAGCTTGTAGGATCGTGTTCTCTTTGACCACATAAACTCTGCGAGATCCTCCTAAGGAACCTGGCGACTTCTCGCACAGGCGTAAATGATACCAGCACAGAAGAAGGGTAAAAATAACCCTTTATTATTATTCAAAATCTGGACAGAAAAGACTTACTTCGTGCTTACAATAACACCGACAACTTGCGATGGTTACACAATAAATTGCACATTATAATTAATAAGAATGGTTACACAATAAATTCAAGGCTAAAGAGTAGTGCTGGACTAGCACTTTAAGTTTAAGGGTCACTAGGCTGATTCGACAGCCTACCCGGCGTGATAATTATGGCCAAAAAAAAAGGTGTATCAGCAACTCCGCATAACAGCAAGGACAGACTCGTAACGTGCGCTGACTAGCGAAAACACGCTCTAAATAAACTCCAAGATTCACCCGTTTAAATACCCACTTCACATAACATTAAATTTGGATCCTGGCGAGGAAATGCGAGGGGAAGTCGAGGAGTTCAGAAAGATAACAAAAATTTGAATAATTGGTTAATTGAACTAAGGGAAACCCTGCAAGCTGAAAAAGCGATTATTCTTTTATCGATTTTCGATCGATTCGAATTTTGTAAATAATACTAATAGTAAATACTTGAAAAAATTACCGGTTAAATATATTGTAAATTATGTCCAATAAGTACATAATTAAAAAATAAAATCACTAAAAATATATATTAATTGTTTCTCATCAATTTATAAGATTATGTTGCTAGTTGAAATTGCTAGTTCTTCTCTGGTTCATGAATTTAATTCGTTCCTAAATGTCGTTCGTCCTCCGAAAATTTCGCTATATAAAAATATTTTCCCCGTGAAAGTTCATGTAAACGAGTTAATTCGTTCTTGGAAGACAGATAATTACTTAATTTATAGTAGTACTCTGCGTACAATTCACAACACAAAACTAATGGGGAAAACACAAAAAAATCTGATGTGGACACCGCATAAGTTCCTTGTACGGCCTACTAAATGATGTACTTATTTTTTTTTCCAGCATTTCATTTAAACTTAATTCCTCGGAATTTTCTAACTTCTAATTCCTCCATACCAATTGAAAATGACATCAAAAATTGCAAATTTTGAAATGAAATATCCCAATAAAATATATCAATTTTGAAATGAAATATATCAATTTTGTCTTATACTTCTACTTTTTCATAACGAGTATAAAACTAAGTCCAAAATATAAGTATAGGAACCGGGAAACAGCACGAAATTTAGATTTCGTATTTGTCGAAAATTATTATTATTATTATTTTTTAATTTAACATTGCCAACACATGAATATTTTCGTCGTTTAAAACTCTTTTTATTTAAAACTCTTTGAAGTCTACGACTACGACCAACGCTGGAGAAAATAAAGGCCGTATAAGGAGTTTTAAGCCGAGTAAGGGTGGTAGGTAGATATACACGTAATACTTCTGGTATAGTTGATTGCAATAAAAAAGGGAGATGCACAACTAGATGATATAACAGTGCCATATGCAAAATTTCAACGTTCTGTGACTAGCCGTTTTTGAGTTATGCAAGAGATATACGTACACTGACCCCCCCCAAAAAAGAGGGGGACAGCAGTTCTATAGCTCCCGTTCTACTGGGCCGATTGACGAAATTGAAATTGCGTTTTTCATGTCTTGAAAGCGCACTTAAGATATATATAAGATTTATATATACCGTTGTTCTAATATAGGTATTTTGATACAAAAATCGGACCTTTTTCTGAATAACATGACAATTTTTTTCCATATTTCGATCCTACGACTCAAATTACGCAAAACTGCCAAGTTTCGTAAAAATCGCATGAGCAGTTTTCCAAAATCTAGCTCTCAAAAATTTTAGGTCCTCAATGTTAATTCAATTTGGTATATATTTATTAATATATCTTTTTTATTAAACTTATTTGATTCTTCCTTTCACATTTCGAAATTTAAGTTCATTCCAAATAAAATTCGCCTATTTTTTATGATTCATTTTTAAAATTTCTATTTTAAAATAATTTTTATAAATTTTTCGAAAACAATTTTGAATTATAACCTATAAAATTTTTAACATCATCTTAAAGTATATGTATTTCTAGGCACACCTGCAAAAAACTAGAGTTTTTTTAATTCAAAATTACCAAGTTAATTCAAAGATACACTGGTGTGCAAAAATTAAGGACGAAGTCGAAAAATTAGCATATCAGCTGAACGAAGAGGCAGAGCGGACAGAAAGACCAATCAGGAGATTAAGTAAGGTGATGTACGGTAGCACATGCTCAGATATGCAGGTAGACGTAATGGGGGAGTGTCTGAGTAGTATAAAGCATGTTGTCGGTGTAAGATCAGTATTTCTGGCAAAGAGATTGCACGATGTATAGCAGTTAAAATCACACCGAGTTGCTGCCTCAGCGAGAAATGGCGAATAATCAATCTGTTAGACGACATCTGGATGCT